TTCTATGTGGAGACAATGGATCAGATGGCTGATGAGTTGCTTGAGGAACTGAACACTGAGGACCCTCTTCAACCTACTCTAACTCAAGAACAAGGAGACAATGGGCTCTTAGCAGAAGAAAGTGAAGGGTACAAGATGTATTTGGACAATGCTAGAGAACTTGGTCCTGAGACAAGGTTTTTTGGAACTGGAACAAAGTGGCTCTGAGGTTTTGGCTATCAAAGGATCAGACATTAGCCAATGCAGCTTGGACAAGGATTGGAATGAGGCTGATGCACCCCCTGTTGAGCTCAAGCCTCTACCAACAGGGCTCAGGTATGCATTCTTGGGCTTAAACTCCACATATCCAGTAATCATCAATGATAGCTGATTAGAGCATCAAGAGAGTGCATTGCTTAGTGAGATAAGAAAGTTCATGAGAGCCATAGGATACTCTTTGGCCGATATTAGAGGGATCTCTCCTGACATATGCACCCAAAGGATACACCTGGAAGACCAATCTATGTCCTCTATTGAGCATCAACGACGTCTTAACCCAAACCTCAAGGAGGTGGTTAAGAAGGAGATACTCAAGCTTCTTGAGGCAGGGATAATTTACCCAATCTCTGACTCAAGATGGGTATCTCCTGTACACGTTGTGCCCAAGAAAGGTGGGATCACAGTGGTTAAAAACGAGAAGTATGAGCTGATAGCTACTAGGACTATAACAGGACACAGAATGTGTATAGACTATAGAAAGCTCAATGTAGCCTCTAGGAAGGATCATTTTCCTTTGCCTTTCATTGATCAGATGTTAGAGAGGCTTGCAAACCACCCCTTCTTTTGTTTTCTCGATGGGCACTCTGGATTCTTTCAAATCCCCATAGATCCAAAAGACCAAGAGAAAACAACATTTACATGCCCTTATGGCACATTTGCATACACGCGAATGCCTTTTGGTCTCTGTAATGCCCCTGCCACATTTCAACATTGCATGATGCATATATTCTCTGACATTATTGAAGAGAAGGTGGAGGTGTTCATGGATGATTTTAGTGTCTATGGCTCCTCCTTCTCGGATTGTCTCTCTAATTTGTCACAGGTTTTGGAGAGATGTGAGCAGCATAACTTGGTGTTGAATTGGGAGAAATGCCACTTCATGGTGCAGGAAGGAATTGTACTTGGGCATAAAATATCTGAGAAGGGCATAGAGGTTGACAGAGCAAAGGTGGAAGTTATGGTGAATCTGCAAACTCCCACTTCAGTTAAAGGGATAAGGAGTTTTTTGGACATGCAGGGTTTTACAGAAGATTCATCAAAGATTTCTCAAGAATAGCCAGACCCTTGACAAGGCTGTTGTGTAAAGAAGTTGATTTCATCTTTGATGCTGAGTGTGAAGAGGTCGTCAAGATGATCAAGGATGCATTAGTCAGTGCACCAATTGTCCAAGCCCCAGACTGGTCTCTTCCTTTTGAGGTTATGACAGATGCATCTGATTTTGCAGTTGGGGCTGTACTTGGCCAAAGGAAGGATAAGAAGCTTCATTTCATCTACTATTCCAGTAGAACACTTGACTCTGCCCAAGAGAAGTATGCTATTGTTAAGCTCGTCGGAAGGCACGCCTGTCTCGCTGCCGTTTTGGACCGACCCGATGAGCTCCAAAGAATGCGAAGGACGATGCACTTCCAGACCGATTCAGTTTACAGAGCCTTCATCAAGATCCGAGATATTTGAGTCCTCTTTCCAGAACATCTGAGATCATTCAATTCCGAGCTATGAGCAAGAAGATAACATTTCCGGAATGGGCGCATGTCTAGAAGCCTCTTTCGGATCGTGTCAATGCACTGCGAAGATGAGTCCTCCAGGAAACCTTCCACTTCCCAAACGCCAAAGGTTCCTTCACCAAAGTTGACGATATCTGAGTCTTCTATCCACTGAGACTGGATAAGGTCTGAGGCTTCCGTGCAAGAAAAATGCTAAGTCCACAACCGTGCGACTTAGGCATGCGAGTTGGCCGCACTGGGAACTAAACCGCACGAAGACTCGCAATCTACACCGACTTGAACCTGCGGCCTGGGAGTAATGGAGACCAAGCCGCACACATCCCTGAAGACTCCTGCTACATGGTCGTGCGAGTTGAAGAGTAGTGGAGACCAGGCCGCAGACGGATTCGCAAATCACTCCGAGAAGGTAATGCGGCTGAGTCTACAAAAGTTTTACCTCGTCCAAGCTTCTTCCTCTGGTTGTGCGACTTGGGCATGTGGCCTGGGACTAAGGGATGACCAAGTCGCACACACACCTTCCCCAGATTTCGCCTTGGTCATGCGAGTTGAAGAAGAAGAGGATTGAGCAGCACAAAGACTCGCAAAACACATCCAGATGGGCGTGCGGCTAAGACTAAGGGATTTAAGTCTTACAAGACAGTTTCTTCACCTGTGCGACTTGGGCATGCGACCTGGGAGACTCTTGACCAACTCGCACATTCGTCACTTTATCCATTAAGGCCGGGTCAGGACCCGGTTTGTTCCGGGCTGACCCGGTTCGTTTTTTAGAGACATATAAATAGTTTTTAAGGTTTTTTCCCAAAACTTAAGCTTTATTCCCTTTGTCTCTTGCCTCTTTTGTGAAAAGACTCCACTTAAGAAGAGAAATATCGATTTTTAAGTGTTTAATCAAGAGAGTTTGAGAGATCTTGGTGTTTAAAGCTGTTTTCTTCTTAATCTATCATCTATCTCTTCATTTACACACTTCTAATCATGATTAACAACACATCTTGCAAAGGATCTAGTGTGTTGATCATGATTAGTGAGTAATCTCCATATTAAGGTCTTAGATATGTAGATTAGGGTGCTTAAGTGGTAGATTAGTGAGCTAAGGGGTTAGATCATGCATATTCCATTCTCTACAACCTGTTCTTAATGCTAGATCCATACAAATCATATGTGGTCTAGATTCTGGGCATTTCATGCACCAAAAGTGTTTGATGAAATGCCTGAACCAAGGTTGTTAGAGGTTTAAGTGTTATTCATCATGGGAATGATTGTTTATATGCTTAAATGACAGATTAAACTGATTCTTAATGCTTGTTAATTCATGTTTCACTAATGATGATTAGGTTAGAAACTATTTTGGCATAGAAGTTGATACCTTCATGAGAGGATTAACTTAATTAATGATGTTTAAGTTGAATGGTTTGCTTGATCATATGGTTCATTAGCTCATTAGTTTATCACTGAAGGCACCCTAATCCACTATCATGTATAAGACCTTTCTCATCATCATACATACATTCTGATCACTTGTCATTACTTAGTTCTTGTGTGATCACTTCTTTAGTCATTAATCTTGTTTCAAGTATTTAGCTATCATTAATCAATCAAAACCTCACTTGTTCACTTGAATTGAGAAACTGATCACATAGCTTAGAGTCTATCACCACATTCTTGGATTGACAACCTCTTTTATTCTACTTTGACAAGGGGATTGATAGCCCTGAGACCCATAAAGTCTTGTCTATCACCCTCGTCAACATCATCATCATCAGCTTCCTCTATCACCGGGACATTCTGTTGATGTTTGTCTGCTGAACAGTTGCCTGTGTAAATAGCAAGTACACCATTATTTAATCTACCATTACCTAAACGCAACCCCCCGTAACTGATACCAACTGAACTTATCCTCTCAACTCTTGAAAATTCCTCTCCAACTTCAACACTTTTAATGACCTCTACATGAATAATACTTCTACGTCCATCTTTATCCAATGAGGTCAGGAACACAGCTAGGTCATCGTTATTAGAAATATAGAATTGTTTATGAGTTTGCACTAGTACCGGAATGTAACTCAGTTTCAGCTTACTCAAAGATTCGACAATCCCAACCTTCGTGCATATCTTATCCACTAAACCAGAATAAGTAATCTCCTCCAAAGTTGATGACTTAAACATTACACCATACATGGAAGCTGGTGTTGAAATCCATTTATCCTCCGAAGTTGAATAATATCCCCCGTAATCAAAAAATAAGTTTGTAATCATTATCACCTGAAAAAATAACACATACACCACACTCAACTGCATAAAAATGGGACTTTCTAGTTGTACGCAAGTGATACCATGTTTCCAGTTGTTTCCAGTTGTACGCAAGTGATACCAATTGTTACTCTCTCTCGTCCTTCTCTCACTCCGGGAAAATACTCTAATCTAACTCCTATTTACTGCGGTATAACATCTAAACCTACAATCCACTAAATATCTATCCGAGTAGCAACCAATCCCCATTTCCATAGTCTACTACAATTCCCTATTCAATAATCTAATTTAATCCCCAATACTAGGGCAACGACTTCCCAAAATCAAAACGAGGTCATATAATCCAACCACAGAAATGTCAATTACCTCGATTAGCCTTCAATGTCGGATCAGTGCAGCAAAATGTTAGAAGGATTCGACGATCTCTCGTTCTCTCGTTTTCTCTGTCGGGATCGCTGGGAGAGGAAGCTGGTCAAAGATGGTTTAAAGATGGTCCACAAAGCCCTGTTCCTGATTGGATACATTTTTGGTGTCTAATATTTGTCTATATCCTCCTGATTGGTCAATTTTCTAGACGCTCGTTTCTGATTGGTTAGTTGTGTTTATATCTCATTGGCCGAAATTTGGTAAACCGCTTTTCATTGGTTCATCAACGCTTAATTATCATTGACCGAATTTCTATTTCTAATTTTCTTCTATAGAAAATTATAAGAACTACTTTAACATTTCCAAGTTCATTAAAAGATAAAAGACCCACAAAGAGTACGAAAGAATGAAAATGTATATGTACGAATAAATAATTTCTCAAAAGAGTGTTTCAAGTTATTCCTTGTTTATTTACGTTTAGAGTCGATTTAAAAGTTATGGACGCGGACCAAACTAATATTTTACAAAGCAGCACGTGGAAAATATGGTCGGTCCGCTTTGGTCGAAGATGCCGAGCACTTTCCTCCTCCGCTCTGCTCCATAAAATCAAAAACTTTTTTGTGTAGCAATCGCACGTTCATAAGAACCAACTTTCACTAATCTATTTAACGCACCAAAATACCAAAACTGTAAACTCCTTTCAGACTTCGTTACTCCATCTCTCTGCAACTATATCTTTGTATTGTTCTTTTCGTATTGAAGATTTAACTACAAATCAGTCTACTGTTTTTGACCGTTGATTTTCTCAGATCTGAAATTATTTTTTTACCATCAATTCCACAAATCTGAGATTTTTCGTTGCTTCTCTATTGAAAGTTGATCGATCATTTAGATCGGCGGAGAAATGGCGACGCAGGGGAACTCTACTGATAATCTTTTCTCTCCTTACAAGATGGGCAGATTCGATCTCTCTCATCGGTGAGTTATTTAGCTGATTCAGTTGATTGGTCTTAATCATAGTGTGTATTGGTCGTGCGTAAGCGTTTGCGTTTGCGTTTTCAGAGTGGTTCTTGCGCCGATGACACGATGCAGGGCGTTGAACGGCGTTCCAAACGCGGCGTTGGTGGAGTATTACGCCCAACGCACTACTCCCGGCGGTTTTCTCATTTCCGAAGGCACTATGGTCTCACCCGGATCTGCAGGGTAATCTCGTAATGTTCATTTTTCCGACCAATGCGTTTTAACTATATAGTACGACGATGATTTTTGTTCGAAATGTGTCGGTGAAAACTCTTTTGTTCAGTAAAGGCTAAAAATCTAAATGACGTCAACTTTAGAGTGAAATACAACTAATACTGGAAAATAATATAGATCAAGTTTTGTAAATATGTGATTTCGAACAAGTACGATTTATTTTTCTGACAAATAGATTATCGATATACTTATTATAGTGAAGGTTTAGAAATAATTTACAATAAATGAAAACAGGGGAAACAATAACAACACCCCAACACAAACAACAACAGAGTATTTATAATCTTGCTGAAAACACTTCTTTAGACTTCAAACCAACAGATTGTATTCTCTAACAGTACTTTTTGATATTTCTAAAAATGAAAACTTATTTTTATAATAAGAAATAATTAGAAAAATAACAAGATGAATCTAGTTTTTCTTATTATTTTTCAATTAGAACTTTTAATTTATCAAAATAAACACAATTTAGAGCCTTATTAATGTTAAAAATTCCACATTTAAAATTTCAGTGATTTGATAACGAGATAAACACCTACTATCTATTTGTTGTTCATCGGTTTTGAATTGAAAACTTACGAAATTTATACACAAATAAAATATTGCTGGTTTAATTCCTAACCACATAAAACAAAAGTCAAATAAAGAATTTCATATCATACTTAACATTTTTTACCATAAAAATAAAAGAATTTTCATATCTATGGACATTGTTACACATCAAGAATTCAAGCCAATGTTTCTTCGCATCTCTTACAATAGACAAATGTAATTTATAATGTATGTAATTGAAGATTCCCACATGTGCCTGGAATCTATTCGGAGGAACAAGTAGAGGCATGGAAGCAAGTTGTGGAAGCAGTTCACGCCAAGGGAGGTTTCATCTTTTGTCAATTATGGCATGTTGGACGAGCTTCTCATTCATGTATGTCTCCTTATTTACTCAATTCTAAACGCACATTTTGAAAAGTAATTGGGAAATTAACAGTTTGAGTTTATTTGTTGATATATAAAACAGTGTATCAACCTAATGGTGGATCGCCAATATCGTCAACGGACAAACCCATTTCTGGAAGATGGCGGGTTCTGTTGCCCGATGGGTCACATGGGAAATACCCAAAACCCCGAGCTCTAGAAGCTTCCGAGATATCTCGAGTAGTGGATATTTATTGCAACTCGGCAATGAATGCAATCCGAGCTGGTTTTGATGGAATCGAGATCCACGGGGCGCACGGTTACCTCATTGATCAGTTTTTGAAGAATGGGATCAATGACCGTACTGACCAATATGGCGGTTCCATTGCAAATCGTTGCAGATTCCTAATTGCGGTACCAATAAATTTTAAAGTTGTGATTGTTTCAAACGCCAATTTCTTACACTATGTTTGTGTTTATATAAGCAATATTTTTTTTGTCCAAACGGAGTTTTTTTTTTTTCAACGTTTGGGTTTAGAGTTAACAAATTCTCTCTTATACAAAAATGATAAAAGTTGTGTTTGTTTGGAAAAAAAAAAAATCAATCAATTATAATATATAAAATTTATATCCAAACATAGTTTTTCATGAAGTATATTTATGTTGTGATTTAGAATTTTAAGTTCTGATTATAATTAGCAGCTTTTTTCATGAATTTTTTTTGTTTTATAAAGTGCGCGTTTATGATTTACATTTTGTTTTTAATAATGTCAAACATTTGTTCATACTAGCTGTGACATTGGGGTTCGTTGTAGGTAGTGAAAGGTGTAATTTCAGCCATAGGAGCTAGTAAAGTTGGTGTGAGGATATCTCCGGCAATAGACCACCTTGATGCAACTGATTCGGATCCATTAACCCTGGGACTAGCCGTGGTTGATTTGCTGAATAAGTTACAGGATGAGAATGGCTCGAAGCTCGCTTACCTTCATGTAACACAACCTCGCTACCACGCCTACGGGCAAACCGAGTCGGGAAGGCAAGGCAGTGATGAAGAAGAAGCTAAACTAATGAAGAGCTTGCGGATGGCTTACAATGGAACATTTATGTCTAGTGGAGGATTCAACAAAGAACTGGGTATGCAAGCTGTTCAACAAGGAGATGCTGATTTGGTTTCCTTTGGCAGGCTGTTTATTGCAAACCCAGATTTGGTTTCACGGTTTAAAGGTGATGCAAAGTTGAATAAATATGATCGGAAGACGTTTTACACTCAAGATCCAATTGTTGGCTACACGGATTATTCATTCTTGGCACCCATTTCCCGCCTCTGAGTTTGAGAAATGAGAAGATTTATAAATAATGATTTTAAGTTTTACTTAGAATGAAAATGGTATTGTTGTTCAACTAATAAAAAAGTAAGTCATGTATCTGTTATCAACTATAACTTCTTTTGTATGATATATATACATATATGTGTATATATATATATGTGTGTGTATATATTATATATGAGAGCCATGCCTTGGTACGGGGTGACAGAGAGATAATTAGAGGTCATCTTTATATAGATGGTAAAATTGTGTTTGTAATACATCATACTAAGCATATTTGGTATTTCGATGAATCTTGTTTTGAAATCAGGGTAAGATCAATAACTACAGTGTCGACCTACTAAGGATTTTAAGATTTTCAGATTAAGAGATTTTTTCTTTAACGCCTGAGGATTTTATTAAATAGGCAATCTGCTAAATACAAAAGCCGCGTAAAAAAACAGAGCATCGAAACACCTAAGGAAAGAGTTTAATGATGCTCTTTAAGCTCTTAATGAAAAAGGTTTTGTAACCATGCTGGTCCACCTCTAGCTAGATAATATTTAAATCTACCATCACGGGTAACACTCTTAGAGATGGCTCTTCCTGCTCTGTTTGCCCCAATCATTTCCTTCTCGATTGACCAGCTCGGGAAACGAGAAAGGAGTTGCAATATCTGGTCTGTATAGAACCTAAACCTCGGCCACTCTAAATGTTTGGATACCGCTTCAATTAGAGACTGTGAATCTGACATAATCAAGACTTGAGAGATGTAAATCGCGAATACTCTGAAGAGCCCAAGCAAAACAGCAAAATTCCGCTGTGATCCGATCAGGAGATGTCATGAAAACTTCCCTCGCGTGGAATAAAACAGAGCCCATGTGATCTCTCAGTAACCAAGCCCCTCCACTTGCAGCTTATCGTTTCTCCAATTTGAGCTGATATTACACTTAGACTGTACCAAGTACCAACTCGAGGGGGGTACCATTTAGAATCGACAGGATCACATGATGACCTGTTACGATCCTGAATTGCAGATAATGTATTGACCTTATTCCATAGCATCGCTTCTTCATAAGCTCAGTGAACAATGACTGCAGGTGCTTCTTGTTGATTAGCAAAGAGAATACCATTCCTGTTCTTCCAGATGTGTCATAATAACCATGGTATGGATTCATGAATATCATTTGCCACTGACACATCTTCCATAATGTCAAGTATAAGTGTCAAATTGGTATCAAGATCTACTGAAAAACCAACACTCGGGCCTAGGAATTTGCGTTAATTCCAGCATCTGAAGCGCAAAATCACAATGAAACAAGACATGATTGATAGACTCCACATCATAGACGGCATGTATCAATCATGGTAATGCCCCTCCGAGTTAGCCGGTTTGCTACCGCCAAAGCACCATAAATAGTTCGCCACCAGAAAACTTTGATTTTAGGAGTAGATAAAAGCTTCCATAAATGCCTCTTGAGCTACTTTTTCATTTGTTCCTGTGGTGATTCAGGTGGAGCAGGGACCATCGGATAAGTTGCCGCAAACCAATAAACGCTTTTGACTGAATACGCACCATTTTTGTGTAAGTCCAGATGAACCGATCCGGTAAACTACCGATTGCTAGCCTGAGGATTCTCGCTGCATCTGCTGGGGGGAACAATTCTCGAACCACATTCTCTCTCCATCTGCCATCAGGGGAAATCAGTGAGCTCACCTTCAGTTTCCAAATCATAAAAGATTTGTTTATTAACCGGTCTCCTTGGCTGATCATCCATGACCCATATTTCCATCCAAACCTTAGTGTCTTGGCCATTACTGATGGACTTCATCAGACCTCGTTTAAGCAATTCTCTGCCGTGTAAAATACTGCACCAATTAAGAAGTAAGAGGGTCTAAACCCAGCACCACACTCCAAAAAGCTTTTCAAGGAACAATGGTGCGTATTCAGTCAAAAGCCTTGCAAGAATCCTCAGTCTAGCAAGTTAGCTCCCTGGATTGCTTAAGATACGACATGCCTGCTTAGCCAATAAAGCCTGGTTGAAATCCTCCAAATCCCGAAACCCAAGACCACCATTCTGTTTAGACTTGCACATTGTTTTCCATGCGACCCAATGGATATTCCGTTTTTTCTCGCAAGCATTCCACCAAAAATCAGACATTGCACTGGCCAGTTTACGGAAATGGTGCTTTGTTAACCGGAAATATGACATTGCATAAACCGGTAAAGCCATAGCTCTTGATTTTAATAGGATCTCCTTGCCACCAAAAGAGAGGGTTTTCGCATACCATCCGCTTAGTCGTTTGTCCAATTTCTCACCAATGAACGCCAATAACTGCTGCTTAGAACCACTAAAGCACTCTGGTAATCCCAAGTACGTACCATCACTACCTTCCTTTTCAATGTTGAGAAGATTTGCGGGCAGATGTTTAGAGATCAGATCGATGTCAAGACCAAAAGTTATCGAATGACTTTTGGAAGTTAATCTGCTGTCCTGAGGAGTCAAAATAAAGCTTGAGGCACCGTAGAAACTCAGAGCATTCTCGCAACGAAGCTTGACACAGAAAGAGGCTGTCGTCAGCAAACATCATATGTTGAACTGATGGTCATTTCGATGATAAACGCATACCTGATATTATTAGAGAAAGCGAGTTCATGATTATGAACGATATGAAATTCTGTTATTCTTCCTCAAAGGGAAAACGATTTACAAGTGTGTCTATATATACATCTGAATAAACACTAAACCAACTAATCTAAACCGGAATCAAATACTATACAAGTAAACCGGTGGTATTCACTGATATTCCCCCTCAAGATGAAGGTGTAAAAATGTTCAAAACACCCATCTTGCCTATATTACTTCGAAAAGGAGCAGGGAAAAGTGGCTTGGTCAAGACATCAGCTAACTGTTGATCGCTCTTCACATACATTGTCTTGAGGAAGCCCGAGTCTATGTATTCACGCACTTTGTGACAGTCAAATTCAACGTGTTTCGTCCGCTCGTGAAACACCGCATTGCTCGCAATGTTCAAAGCAGAGGTATTGTCACAGTAAAGGTAAGCTGGAGGAGTAAAAGGAACTCTGAATTCTTCAAGAAGACGAGACAGCCAAACCATCTCCTTGGCAGCCATAGACATGGCCCTATATTCAGCTTCCGTAGTGCTCATGGAAACCACAGATTGTTTCTTAGATTTCCATGTGATCAATGAATCTCCCAAAAACATTGCATATCCGGTCACTGATCTTCTTGTATCCAAACAAGCACCCCAATCAGAGTCACAATAGCCTCACAATGCAAAATTAGTATCAGCTGCGTAGAACAACCCCTGACCAATGGTACCCTTCAAATACCGAAGGACTTTGTGAACAGCTTGTAAATGAGGAACACGAGGATCTGAAGAGTATTGAGCCAACTTGGATACAGCAAAACATATGTCTAGACGTGTAATAGTCAAATATTGTAGTTTGCCCACCAATCGACGATACTGTTTTGGATTATCAAGAACCAAACCTTCATCCTTAGAAAGTTTCTGATTTGGTTCCATAGGAATGGCCGAAGGTTTACAACCTGAGAAACCACTCGAAGCAAGCAAATCTAAACAATATTTCCTCTGGCTCACAGATATACCTTCATGGGACCGTGCAATCTCCAGGCCAAGAAAAAACTTAGGTGGACCAAGATCTCTGAGCTTGAACTGGGATTCTAACTGAGATTTCAACACAAGAACTGCAGCATCATCTGTACATGCTATCATAATGTCATCGACATAGACTAAGATAGCAAGAAACTTGCCATCCCATTGCTTCACAAATAACGTGTGATCACTCAAGCATTTCTCAAATCCCATCGCAAGCAAGGTAGAAGAAAGTTTAAGATACCATTGCCTTGACGCCTGTTTAAGACCGTAAATAGACTTGAGAAATCTACAAACTGAATTTGGTTTAACAGGTTCCCCCTTAAGCTCTGCATATCCAGGAGGGAGCTTCATGTAGATCTCTTCATCCAAATCGCCATTCAAGAAGGCATTGGAGACGTCTAACTGATGAAGCGACCATTTTAACTTCGGAGCAAGAGCAAGTAAGAACTTCACGGTGGCAAGTTTAGCTACAGGAGAAAAAGTGTCAAGAAAATCAACACCTTCTTGCTGAGTAAAACCCTTAGCCACCAAACGGGCTTTGTAGCGTTCAATGCTTCCATCAGGATTGTACTTTACCGTGTACACCCATTTGCAACCGATAGCAACTTTATCAGGGGGCAGATCACACACCAACCAAGTGTTAGTCCTTTCCATTGCACCCATTTCCACACCCATAGCATCGCACCATACCTGAAAATCCTTAGCCTCAAAGTATTTTTCCGGTATCGGAGTATTTTTGAGAGTAGTAAGAAAGGCACAAAAAGGCTCAGATATATTTGAATAAGATATAAAGTTTGTGAGAGGATAAGGGGTGGTTATCTTAGTAAGAGTATTATTATAGCAATGAAAGTCCTGCAAGTGTTTGGGAGGTTGTGTTTGTCTGCGAGACTTAAGCTCAGAATGAAAAAAAGATTCAGAAGATGACACATCAGTGTGACGATGTGCATCAGAAGATGTTTGCATCGGAGGCAAAGGAACATCAGAGGAAGCAGGAGAATGTAATAGAGGAAAGAAGTCTTTGGTATCATCTTTGATGTTAGATGATACAAAAGGAAAAATATCCTCATGAAAGATGACATGCCTTGAAACAGAAACGGAATGTGTCTCTATATCTAGTAGCTTATAACCTTTGTAACCGGATGGGTACCCTAAGAAGACGCATGCCTTGGCTCTAGGATCAAACTTATGTCTACCTTTAGGCGAGGTTGAACTATAACATAGACATCCAAAGCTTTTTAAATTGTTATACTCTGGAGACTTATTCATGAGTTTCTCATAAGGAGACTTGTTGTCTAAGACCAAGGATGGTAATCTATTAATAAGGAAGACCGCAGTTAAGACACAATCACCCCAGAACTCTAAAGGAACTTGAGATTGAAATAAAAGAGATCTAGCTACATTCAAAAGATGCTGATGCTTTTTCTCAACCACAGAGTTCTGTTCAGGTGTTTCAGGACAAGAATGATATGCAACTATTCCTTTAGATGCAAACAAATCATGGAATTTAAGTTCATGTGCATTATCAGATCTCACAGATTTTACTTTAGTATCATATTGCGTTTCAACCATTTGAATGAACTGAGGAAAAATATCTAACACATCAGATTTTGCACGC